TTCCTGGACCTGGGCTGAGCTTAAATAGGCTCATGGGCAGGAGGGAAAGGTGTAGGGGAGGCCCCAGATGTGGCTGACCGGGACCATTAGGGCCTGTAAGTGCTCTCAGGGCCCTGACAGCAACCTCCCCTCTCAGCCCACCCCCCTGTCCTCACACCTCACAGAGGAATGGGCTCAGGAGGGACTTGCTGTGGAGTGATTTAATTGCTGTGGGGTGTCAGGGTGCTGTTTAAGGGAGCAGAGACCTGAGAGAAGTCACTGGGAAGGGGATATGGCGTGAGAGACTTGGGGATGGGGATTGTCAGGCTGCCCATGAGGGGCCCCAGGGGTCAGAAGGACTTGGGGGTAAAGGGTAAAATTCACACCACCCCTGGAAGATCCCCAGGGGGTGGGTAGTGCTGGGGGGTTCACTCAGGAGCCTGGGGTTGAGTAAAGGGTCAGATGTAGCTCAGTGATTGCCAAGCAGATCAGCAGTGATGAGACAGGTTTGAGGTCAAGGAGGTGCCTGGCAGGCTGTATCTGTATCTCATGCAGGGTCCCTGGCCCTGAGGGGTGCACAGGAGGGTGGCAGCAGTGACCTGCTGTGTGGCACACAGCCAACTGCTCTCTCGAAGGTGCCGACTGGTAGTGTGAAAGAGGGGAAGCACCAAGGAGAAGGAGCTAACAGTCTAGTAGCAGCATCCTTATTCCTGAAATTGCCTTTTTGGTCCAGGACAGGTGCCTGGCTGACTGCAGCTAGTTGGGGGAATTCTGCACGGTTCCCTCTTGCCAGATCTCCTGTGCCTTCTGGTTGGGTTGCAGCTGCTGCAGAGACACAGAGAGGAGGTTGTCTCCAGGCAGGGACAGCAGCCTGGGATGTGGAATGGGGAGCTATAAATCAGCAAGCTGCTAATTAAGACCACAGGAGGCTGGTGAGTTACTAAAGACCTGTATTACTCTCTTCAGAGCTTTGGGCCATTAACAAGATCCCTGGGACCTACTCTGAGCACGTGGCTCTCCAGGGACGTCACTTCTGAGCACTCTATTTTGGGCATGTTCTCAGAGTTGAAGTTCCCCGTGCCATGGGGCCACGTGGCAGCCAAGGCCTGGGGACCCTCAGAGGGGCACCCCGTGCTGTGCTTGCATGGCTGGCTGGACAACGCTAACACCTTTGACAAGCTCATTCCACTGCTCCCCAGAGGTAGGTCTGGCTCATCAGGATGGTTCTTGCTATGTTGCAGGGCTGCACATCTGATACTCTCTCCCTTTCAGATCGCTATTATGTGGCAATGGATTTTTCTGGCCATGGCCTGTCATCCCACCGACCTGCAGGCTCCCCCTACCATTTTCTGGATTACGTGAGCGATGTGCGCCGGGTGGCAGCAGGTGGGTAGTTGAAGGGACCCTTGAGGGGATGTTTGTGCAGAGGGTGCTGTATTGCTCCTGCTCCTTAGAACAAACAGGCAGTATTTACTGTCAGGAGAGGGGTCAGTTCCCTCTGCTTCTCCCCAGCCTGATGTTAGCTGGTACTTTGTGGCCACAGACTGAATAAGCATCCCTCTTTCTCACTATTTTGTCAGAGGAAGAAATGTTAAGCCTTGGGAAGCAAGTGTTTCTATACTAAAAAGCAGTAGTGGCGAAGCGGTGGATGCAACTGAATAGTTTCACCAGACTGACTTTTTGAAAGCAGCCAGTGACCTCTAACCAGTATTAGGTGTAAGCTGGAGACTCTTCTGGTTCTCCCCGGATGGCAGCTTGCTGCTTGCTTTAATATCATACAAGGAAATCTGAAAGCCAAAGTGTCTTGGGCTCCTAATAACTCCTGATCTAATTGCCCATCTGTCTGCTGATCTTGCAGGAGGTTGTGGCATGTGCAGTTTTGCACCCCTCATTCAGTACACAAAGAGTTTCTAGTTCTTTGACGTGCCAGAGGGTAACACACGTTTCAGTGAGGTGTATTTCAGATGGGCAGTGTTGATGAAGCAGTATTTTCCCATAAGCCTCTCGGAGTGCCCTAAAAATGGACTGAAGAGCCTGATGTGCTAAATGGTGCAGAGAGCTTTCACTTGGAATAATCATGCTTTCCTCAAGGCAGTGGACTTGGCTCTGTTGCCTCATGGCTCTTGTGGAATGCCCTGCAGCAGGATGCTCTTGTCGAGGTCTCTCTCTTCCAGCAGATGCTGCCCAGTCGGGCTCCTCTGCTTCTTGCCAGTGTCATGTCTGGCAATGAATGGGAATTTGCTGTAGTGTGCTATACAGAGAGAGCTTGAGAGCTGTGTGACTTAACTACTAAGGCAATGAGGTGGTAGATGCTCTTTTTCTTTAAAATTGGCCTACTTAGCTACCTTGTTTCTGGATTAGGAAGCAAATTAAGCAGTGCTAAAGCCCTCCTGGGAGAAAAGGCCCATGTTGGTGGAGAAACAGCAAGATGCCGCTGCTGTGGTTTCTAATGCAGCAATGTCTGTTTTTTGTGTGTTGCCACTTAGCCTTGCAGTGGAGACGGTTCACCCTGATGGGTCACAGTATGGGTAAGTGGCTCTTGTCCTTGTAAGCTGTGAAACTCGTGGAGATAGGAGTAGATAATTAACTTACAAGACATGCTGCTAGGAGCTGAGTTGGAATATTTATTACATTGTGTCAAGTATCAGGTTCCTGTTTGAGCAATTCAAAAATCTGTGCCCTTGTTTGAAATGCCTCTGCTTTCAAGACCCTGTAGTACAAACAGTGGTAACTCTTGCTGAGGGCCATTCCCCCACCCCCAGGAGGGAACAGTGGTGGGCAAAGAGGGGTGGTCTACAGCAGGAGAAATCACAGCAGGCCTTCCTGCCTGGTCCCCACGAGGCCACAAAGCCTGGGAACAGCAGGGCCCTTCTTGGTGGGTCATGGAGCTTGCTTAGGGGAACCCCACTCTAGCCTCTGTCCTTTTGTGCTAGAGACATGATTGAGTTTTGCCACGATTTGGATTTATGCTCCCCAGGGCTGCTCTCGTCACAGCTCACAGGGCCTGTTTTAACTAGTAACTCCTCTCTGGCCTTTGCTGAAAGGGACATGGGGATGGTGCAGGACAGGGAGCCCAGCTGGCTGATAGCCTTGCTCTGCCTGCATCCTGCCTGCTGGAAGAGCTTTAATCTGTAGCTGGTGCTTTGTCCCTTGGTACAACATGCACATGTGCTTCTTAAGGCAGCTCCTGCTGTGGGGAAGGGGAGTTTCTGTTACTGGGGGGTGTCCAGTGCATAGCTGAGCACACCTTCTTTACTTTGCAGGTGGGTCTGTGGCAGGAATGGTGAGTAAAGCATCCTTTCTTCATGGGGTTTGCGATTTCTGCAGCTGGAACAACAAACGGGAGAGGAATGAAGGAACAGACTGTGTGGCACTTGGATCTCAGGGGAAGAGAGGCCCTTTCCTGACCCCCTCTCCAGTGTAGCTGGACAAAGACATCAGTGCTCAGCTTTTCCCTTTCTCTCATATTGTTTCATCTCTCCTCAGTTCTGTTTCCTTTATCCTGAGATGGTGGACAAGCTGATCCTGCTGGAAAGTGTTGGCTTTCTGCTGGCTCCAGAGGTTAGATTTCATGTGTCCTTCCCCTCCTTTTTTAAAATAAAAAATAGATGGTTTTTTCCTATCCCTTGTTTGTTCAGAGAAAGCGTTGATGTGCCCAGTTCCCGGCAGGTCACACGAGTCTCGGGGCTCTTCCTTTTGGCAAGCACATGGACTCAGGTGCCTGCTTAGGGTGGCCCTTGGGTGACACTTGGTAGTGCTCCATATTCTGCAGTCCCTTAGCACCAAAATTCACTTGTCTGTGCCATGCCCTTGTACAAAGGGAAGCGGAACCTCTGTCCAAGCAACTGCCAGCTGAGGTTGTCTTTTTGCCAACAGTTTGTTGGGTGACTTGGGTGCAAGATCGGTGGATTTCTTTTTCTGTTCCTGGCAGGACATAAAGCTATATTCCCAACCTGTCATCATCACTACCAGGTGCTAGGGCTTTGGTTGGCAGAAGTGGGACAGAAGCCCAGGGTCAGAGACACAAAAGATACCAGATTTCCTGTGTTCTTTTGGGCAGTTGTCCTCAACTCAAGTGAGGTAGGAAGGGGTAGAAGAGATTGCAGGGCTAAAAGGTTAATAAGTTCTTTACAGCAGTGCTTAGCTTTCTGTTTCTACCTTGCCTTTTAAGTATTGCTGTTCCCTTTTCCCCAGAAATGGGCATTTTTAATGTGATGTCCATAACTGGTACCAGTTCTGAGGGATGTTGAAGGGTGACATGCCCTCTTCTACCCTCTGATAAGGGGTAAAACGATTCGGAAGAGAGGAGTTACTCCTCTTCCCTACCTCGCTTTGTTGCAGGACACCGAGGCATGGCTGAAATCAAAACGGATGGTGATTGACACATTACTGAGTCTAGAGGCAAAGCAGCAAACTCCCAAAGCACGGAGCCCTGAAGCAGCATTGCAGAGGTGGGTTCCCATCCGTCCTCTTCATTTGCTGCCTGCCCTCACCTTGGACAGAGTTATGGCTGGCTGCACGAACGAGAAAGGGAAACTGTGCCTGCACTTCCCCTTTCAAGTTCTCTGGAATCTCAGCAAGACCTTTTGCTGCTTCTGCCAGAAGCTGCTGCTGCTGCTGCTGCTTGCTCTTTTCTGAAGCAGCCTGAGAGCTCGCTGTCACCTTGTCATGCCATTTTCGCTTCGCTTCCTCCCTTTTCCAGCAGAACAATCTCTCTGCCATGTCTCCCCCAGGCTCTTAGAAGCAAACAGCCATCTGACAGCGGAGGGTGGGGCAATCCTACTGCAGCGAGGAGCAACTGAGACACCCGCTGGTAAGGGGCTGCTCAGAGGCAGGGCTCACCACACTGCTGGGCCAACGCTGGGTGTGGGAAGGGAGTGGTGCCAACAGCCATTGTCTTCCACAGGGTACTGGGTGCCCTAGCTACAAGTTTACACAGTCTGAGTGGAATCAATTAGGTCTGGAGGCAAAGCTCTCCATTCCCAGCAACTGGGGTTGGTGCTTAAGTCCTAGAACAGCTAAAGAAAATAAATAAAAAAAAGGGAAAATCAGAATTAATCCTGTTCCTTTTGTCTCAAAGTCTTGGGCAGACCCCAAAGGTGAGGAGGAGAGGAGCAACTCCTGCTCCTGTGAGACATGAAAAACATTCTCTTGTTTTTTTATTCCAGGGCTGGTTTATAACAGAGACATGAGAGTCCGTACGGTGAGCATTGCTCTTCCAACGTGCCCCCTGCTGCTTATGAGCTCTGAGCTAACAGAAAACTCGGATAGTAGAGGCCTGCTCACTGAGCCCAGGCCTTGCCTCCACCCAACTGTTTACTTTCTGCTTCCCTTATTCCCACATCTCTTTTAAATGCTGCCATTAAAAGAGCCTGCACTCAATCATTAACTGAGTCAGCTTACAGAGTCACTGGAAAATGTTACAGATTTTTTAGCAATTCCTCTGCCCCAGGGCCTCCTGGCCACATTTTCCTGCCGTTATAACTCTTCAGGCAGCAGATGGATGGATGCTTTTGGTCAGCTTCTTTGTCAGGTCACCCGTAAAAGAAGGGCCGAGAGAGTGGAACAAAGTCCTTATGTTTGATATTCTGGTAGCTCTGTGCCACTTTTGAGCAAGCAGGGCCTCCTCTACCTGTGCTACTGCCAGGCTATGAAAGCCAGAGTATTGTACTGTCTCCTTTTTCGTAAAAGGATTTTTAAAGCTTTTCTCTGCTATGAGATCATTCCCATATGTGCTGCATCCCAGCAGGCAGTGTTGTTGGCAGCCCTGAAACGCAGCTGGACAGAAGGAGCCTTTGCAGAGCCAGCTTCTCTTGTGCACAGCCTGGCTGCCTGTCATGTCCCAGCACAGCAGCTTTGGGGCCACAGCCACTTCTGCCTTCAGAGCTGCTAGCGCAGCAGGGGTCAGGGACACCCTCTGTCCCCAGCTGCTGTCCCTGACCTTTGCTGCTCTCTCTGTCTTTGCACCTGCAGCAGAGTCGAGAGTCCTTCACGGCAGAGCAGTGCGTGAAGCTCCTGCAGAAGATTCAGGACCGCGTTCTCATCATTGTGTGAGTGAGGCACAAGCCAAACCAACACTCGCTGCCTCCCTGCAGCCCTGGGTGGAGGGGATTAAGGTTAGAAAGGAGTCCTCTGCTATCCCCTCCGCAGCAGCCACCCAGAACTTCAGGCCAGCTGGCACAACAGTACAGCATCATGTGTAAGACGCATTTCCTAGTTCCCCACCACTGCCCTGGGCAGGGCAGGCTCCTGGCGCAGGCAGAGATGCTGGCATATCATCCTCCTGGCCTGGCACTACGTTTCCAGGCTGGGCCTCCCTGGTGCAAGGCTGACCAGGGAAATGCCAGACATGCCCTGCCCTCCCCACACTCATGCCTTCACACTGCCATCGCACAACTTTCTGTCCCTTAGCCCTACAGCAAGGGGCCATCCTGGCAAACACGCGGCCCTCCACAGCACTGCTCCTACTTGCTTTTTCTCCTGGCCTGACTCTTCCCCCAGGCACAGCAACCCAGCTTGCCCCCTTCTCCAGACCCCAAAACCTCTTGCCTGAGCAAACAGGTGAAACCATGGCAGCCTCCACCTCCTCCAGCTGGTCCTGGAGCCCCTGGCCTGACACAGCTCCTGCAAGCTCTCCCCTGTTGTGCCCGGGGCAGGGAGGAGCTGTGGGGAGGTAGCCAGTCACAGAGCCCCCACAAGCTGTTATGCTGTCTGGGTGGGTAGCTGGTTCTGTCGGTTCTCTGCATTTTCCAATCATCTCCTTGGAGGGCAAGATGTGCAGGGCTCTGGCTGCCTTGGCCTGTGCGGTGCTGTTAAAAGACTCTAGGAGATGAGATGAAGTGCTAGAAGTTGAGAAATGAGGTGCAGTTTTGGCTTCCCTGGTCTGTTGAAATCATAAGAGCTTAGGGATTTTCCTGCTTGTCCAGAAATACATCATTGTGGTGAGGAAGAGTTCTCTAGGCCATACAGAGCACATCCCTTTGAGCCTGGGATGTCGCCTTGTCCCATCACCTGCATCACAGTAGGTGTCTGCATGATCTTAACTCTGCAGGAGATCTAATGCTGGCTTCCCCAGGAGGACTGCCCTGGTACCTCCCTCTCCAAGCAGGGCACACCCTGTTTAAAACAGCAGCATGGAGTGGGGAAAGGGACCGAGGGGAGATGTGGGAGCTGGCTGGAAGGAAAAATTAAGAGCAGAGGACAGGGCGGGGGCAGGGAATGATGTACTCAGACCAGTGAAGGAGCCAGCCCTAGGGGGATATTTGACCAGTCTCCACTCTGATACTACTAGGCAATCACCCAAGGTTTTAAACATAGTTTGACAGAAAATTGCTTAGCCAAGCTGTGCGGCGCTCCTCTGGCTACCATGTATGACCCTGTAACCCTGCTGTTTACAAGCAGCCTGGAAAGAGCAGTTGGTCTGTTGTCCCGCTGTTCTGGGGACACTTCTCCTGCCCAGGAGAGCGTCAAAGACAAATGGAGGCACACTATGTGCTGTACTGAGCCTTGCTGTTGCTTTTCAGAGCACAAGATGGACTCTTGGTACCATACAAGCTAGACAGCAGAAATCACTTTGTGAAAGCCCTGTGGGAGGCGTTCCAGTCTACCCTCAAAGAGGTGAGAGCAAACTCCATCCTTGCATCTCTACTCTGTACACCACCAACATGGGAGCAGCAGCTAGGAAGCAGCTCACCGTGGTGGCCACCCCCAAGGAGGTGATTTGTCCTGAATGGCACAGCCCTCACACGGGGGGAGCCAACTTTGCCCCTGCTGCTGAAGTCCCAAGTCAGTAGCACCTTCTGGACTCAGCTCTTGCCTAGTCCTCCCATCCCTGTCCTGCCTTGCCCCCTGAAGTGCCACACAGCAAGCACAGCTTGCCTGAGGGAACGCTTTCCTGGTCCGCATCTTCTTGTGTCTTCTCCCTCCAGCACATCCAGCTAGTAGAGGTGCCTGGGAGTCATTTTGTACACCTGAATGAGCCCAAGGTGGTGTCTGGGATCATCAGCAACTTCCTGACGACGCAGAATGCCAGGCTGTAGGAAGAAGGATCACTGCTGCAGCAGTCCAGGAGAACAGGGAACTAAAAAGCAGGCTCTAGGGCAATTGTCACCATTCCTACCTCACATCCAACATTAGTTTCATGATTCTTTTTCCTAAGCTTAGCTCACTGCAGGGTGGAAGCGGGTTTGCTGGGGGTTCCCTGGAGGAGGGTGACGCGAAGTATCTCAGTTGTCAAAGGGAAAAGGAATTCCCTCCTCCACTTCCAACTCTGTGAGAAGGATAGAGGCCCAGAGTGGCCTTCCTCTTGCTTGCTCCCAACTTGCACCCTGGAGCAGGAATACAGGCAG